AGACAGACAGACAGACAGACAGACAGACAGACAGACAGACAGACAGACAGACAGAATGACAGACCGACAGGGGGGAGGAGGGTGGTAAAACTGTGAACGAGCGTGTGTGCACGTCTGTTTATGTATGTGAGTGACTGCGTTGTGTGTGTGTGGGTACGTGTGTGCTTGTGTGATCTGTATGTGATGGGAGTATACATGAAAGTGAATGAGAGTGTAAGTGTGTGTGTGTATGTGTGTGTGTGTGTATGTGTGTGTGTGTGTTTTTGTGTGTGTGTGCGTGTATGTGTGCGTGCACGCATGCGTGCGTGCGTGTGTGAAAAAGATAGAAGAGGATGGAATAAAGAACACCGACACAAACAAATAACAAAGACAAAAGATGTTTCATCATTTTGATTTTGAGCACATTTTAAAGAGTACGCGAAAAAATGACATCCTTTTTCCATCAACTAATCACTTATTGAGAATAAAGTATAGAGACAAACTGAGGGCAATTTGACACAATTTGATGTCAAGGATCTACTTTATCATCTTCATCATCGCCATCATTATCATCATCATTATCATCATCTTTTCTCACCCCGTATTTTTAGTAAAGACCTCTCCATCTTATTCCATTTGGACTGTAAAATTATTGTCTTCACTTTTGTCCAACGGTATCCCATCTCCTTCAGGGTTGCAATCCAAGTTCCTTCTTAAATTAAATTTTTGAGTCGTCTTCTCTTTCTCTTTCCAGGTGAATTCCATTTTATAAGCATGAACATAATTTCAAATCCACAAAAAGAGACAGCATTCAATAGTCACAAAAATGCACCCCGATCCCACCCCCTTTTTTTTCTTTTCAGTTTTTAGATATTTCATCAAATCATGTTGAAAACAAAAGTGCAACTCTTGGCGGAGCAGAGAGATTGCTACATGGGTATCATGCGGGACTATGGGGTAGATGAACTTGGTTTGAATCCCAAAGGGGTACTCTGGAACCTTGCTTAATTCAACAATTTATTTTCAAGGCTGTTTGAAAGGCGTCGGTAGCCTCGAGTGGTTAAGCTACTGGACTTGTAATCGTGAGATTATGGGTTCGAGGGTTCGAGCCTCAGCTCGGTCTGAAGTTGTGTCCTTGGGAAAGGCATGTTACACGAACTTCTCACTTGGCTCGGTCCTATCGGAGATGGACAATAAACTTGGAGGTCCCGCCCCTTAAATAACCTAATAGTGTTGATAGGGGCGTTAAACCCATACCATTTCACCATTTGCACTTGTCCATTAATATTGTGCCAATCCCAGTGTGACTCTAATTCTAATGCTGTATTTTTACAATGTTCACATGACCAAATCAAACTGAAAACATCATCAAATGTGTATGACTTATTTCAAGAGAAACACAGTCATGCATACTTCTCTACTCCCACTCTCTCTCTCTCCTTCTTTCTCTCTCTCTCCTTCTTTCTCTCTCTCTCCTTCTTTCTCTCTCTCTTTCTCTCTCTCTCTCCTTCTTTCTCTCTCTCCTTCTTTCTCTCTCT